AAAAGAAAATAATTCTTGAATAATCTTATATGACGTTTGGTTCACGGTATTAATACTTGCATTAGATTATGCAAAAAGTTTATGCTATTTTATGCTGAGATTAAATTCAAAATAAAAATATGTATATTGGTAATACGTAATATTTTTGAAGTATTTATTCCCCACATAATAAACTCTTTATACATTATTCTTCACCATATAACAATTCGTTAATTATTGTTTGTCGCATTTATCCTGACATTACTATTTCTGTATAACTAACCAAACTACTACTTATAGTATCATTTAAATTAAATTACTCATAATTAGTGGTGGCTGCTGACTACTAGCGTAGCCTGACACTAATGAATTGACACAACAATTTAGGTAAGCAGCGCCATAAAATATTTTCCCCCTAATAAGGTATCACTTATATTCAAATGCGTATATCGATTGTATACAAGAGTATATACAAAGGATACAATTTAAGATACAACTTGTATTGACGATTCTAGTCAAACAATTCTTATCTTTAGCATGTCAGCCTTTAAGATACGAATAACTATGTTTTTATGGATTTAATTTGCATAAATCGGTAGCTTAAAGAATTTTTACACTTTCAATGTCGTTTAAAAGACTATAACGACTTGTAAGGACTTACCTGTAAATGCATTTTTTATCCTTTAAGTGCCATGATTGTGAAGAAAAATATTACAGTATAAGTAAAAATTAAACTCATGCAAGCAAGTCATCCCAGATAGATCTTTATATTTGCGGTAGGGATGGCAAACGGGGTGGGGCGGATGGTAAAATTCACGAATAGCCACTTTTTGGTCCCTATAACTGACAAATATTTAATGTCCTGAAATTTCAAATTCTACAAGTGAAACTCCAAGACAGTGGCTATTTTTTTAAAGACAGGCCAAAAAATGGCCATTGAGTGCCATTTCTATCGGAGCCAGATCCAATATTTAAAGTTTAAGAGCCCGTTTGGACATAAGAATTTTATCACTTTTTTTCGAAATCAGTGTTTGGCCATAAAATTTCAAATTTTTTCCCTTGGAACATGAATTTTGTAATTTTTCGCAAATTTGAAAAACTCGAAAAAGTTGTTTCTCAAAATTTTCACTCAAATCGCTCACAAAAATTCAAAAACAGCCCAAAATTATATTCGTGTCCAAACACAACTCTGATATACCAATTCACAAAAAAAAAAATAACTTTTTTTTGGAATTTTATCATTCTTATGTCCAAACACCCACTAAGTGTTCCTAATGTACAATAATAACCCCACCAACTAATGTACAATAATAACCAAACCAACTGCTAAGTTTCGAGCTAAATATTGTTATACAAAATGCAGAACAAAAGTTATTGGATTCACGTGAACTAACCTCATCGCTTTGGTAACGCCTACGAGCAGAGAAGGCAAAGTGAAGGCCTTTAGCCATATCTTTATCATACATATCCCTCATTCTAGGATCCGATAAAATCTCATAAGCTTCCTGAACCCGAATAAATCTCTGGGTATACTCCTCGACTCGATCCGGAGGTGAAACATCCGGGTGGTACTTTCTTGCTAATTGCTTGTTCGCTCGTTTAATTTCCAATAAAGTCCCCGTTTCTGGTATACCAAGAAGATCATAAAAACTCCTATTATCGAGCTCAGCATATGAAACGACGTCGTTGAGCTTCGATTTTGCTTTCAAGGAACCAAATTTGGTTCTCAATTGGGAAGTTGAGGGGTAGTTTGGGAAATATATACAGGGGTGTAGGGAGGAGGGGGAGATAGAGGGTGGTGGTGGTGAAGAGACCGGAATTAAGCCATAGGAGTTGCAGCACATTTCTCGATTTTGGAATTTTTTTTTTCTGTGTGTGGATCCATATTCCCCTTATTAATAAGGGATAGTTTGAGGAGCTTGGGGGTATTTTTGGAAAACTGCAAATAGCACGGGCTAGCCAATTTTCATACTGGTCATTCAAAAATAGCTAGCATTTGCCAAGTCATTAAAAATAGCCACTATTTTGCTGCACCAGAGATCGGTCCAGCATAACATACTGGAGTTCGGTGCACCTGTGTTTGAACTTCCAGCATATTATGCTGGATCGATATACATTGTTGGCTCCAGTATAATATACTGGAGTTCCAATATACTTTGCTGGTACTCCAGTATATTATACTGGAATTCCAGTATATTATGCTAGAGCATTATGCTATAGAATTCATGGTCATGAAGTACTATATCCTAAATGCAATTTGTGCACATATGTATCTTGCTTAACTATAAGCATGATAGTATGATAGCAAGAATTTTCACCCCTGTGAAGATATTGAAATGATGATTCCAGCAAGATCATATGAAGACAATACATCTATCAGGGATGATGATTTCAAGGTGAAACAAATTCGTTGAAGTTAATATGGCTAATATAGACATTCAAGGAGGAGTGTTATGAATAGAAGGCACATTATCTGGTAGATAGACATTCAAGGAGGAGTGTTATAAATAGAATTTTATTTGTGGTGAATGTCTATATTTAGAGAGAATGTAGGGTTTATTACTTGGTGGCTAAGTCACTTTTCCCCTATAAATAGAGGGGTTCTACTCTGTTGTAACTAATTATAGATCAATAAGAATTCTCTGTCTCTACTTTTCTCTGTAATACTCTTCTTCTTTTATTGTTTCATAACAATTATATAATACTACAATAATGTTTGTCTATCCCAAAAATATACCATCTAGGCAACCATAATTAAAGTCTATCGTTACTTCTATTTTTACCCTATTAAAAATATATTGAGAATTTTGAACAGTATTATTTGAAAAAGTACTTTATAGAGTAGAAGTTTGTGTTAGGCTTTAATTAAAATTTTAAAAGCTCCAAAATTAGGTATAGAGCATTACAGAGATTACTACTTTTGCTGGCTCTAATTAGAGCTTGTATGGTAATAGGGCCTGGCATTATTACATATGTTATTCTGTCATGTCACTTCTTTTTGGTTGGTTGAAACTTTAATTTGGAGCTTTTGAAGTATTAATTGTTGTAAACTTAAATTCATTTTCTGGGAATTCCGTGCAGTTTTTTCGGTGATTTATACAGCTAAACTTTCCTTAGGAAAAGTACTCTTATTTATGGCAATGAGGATGACATGAGGCACATCTAGAAGTTATTCTTGCTTGTTTTGTGCGCATGATATAATTCATGATTCACTTTCACTTGCTAAATTTACGATTTGACACAACTTATTTTTCTTCATGACAGACTACAAAATCCTCAACCTGCTAGAGGCCAACTTAGCGGATGCAACAATAGCATTATATGTGATGAGGTCTTGAAAATTAGCTATAATAGTGAAGACAATGTATGTTTTACTTTAGAAATGTGTTGCATCTACCTGTTCTGTACTACTGTGTAGGCCAAAATTATGTTATAGTAACGTCATCCAATTATCATTCTTAAGTCCTAACTACTCTATATTTGCTAATAGTCTATATTGCTTTGTCTTAGTTGAGCATCCTACATGAAACCTGTATTGATGCTAAAACTTATTCTGTTAACTATGTAATGCAACAACAAAAAAAGACCCATTGTGCTTGGGCCCGCGCTTTTAAGTACAGATTTTATCTTCTGTATTTTCCTTGTAGCTCTTTCTCCATCACGTCATGTCACTTTATTTAAGCTCATTTCAGTCAATCTTTGCTGGTGATGAATATTGAGCTAAGAGTGAGTCACATTGCCACTCATCTCATTCATTATTAGTCTTAATTAATTTGTTGAATCTCATCTTTCCAACTCCAGTGAAATGTGTGACATATTCAAAACCCGAATTTGGTGCATCTGATTAATTTGAAGTAATTACTTATAGCATATGTTTTAATATTAGTCACGTAATAAAGATATGTTTTATCAACATAATACGAAGTTGCCTACTTAACGAGTTACAGTTGGGTTCTTTTATGAAGATTTAATTCAAATAGCCGTTCATCTAATTGGTTAAAACAGGGAGATATTCAAAAATAGCTAGATTTACAAATGGTCATTTAAAAATAGCCACAGTTTCTAAAGTCATCGAAATTTAGCCACTTTCCATGTAAAGATAAATATGAAGGAAAATACTGTTCAAGATTATTTTCTTGCTGGTTTTGTCACACAAACGCGCGTTATCTTTCACGCTTTTCTTGTCCAAGACCCTTTGATTTCAGGCTAAAATGTCCGGCTTGATAAACGGAGCCGAAAACAACGACCTCAAGAATCACGGGGAAAATGGCGTGGCTATCCCGGCCGCTGGAGCACCTCCGCAGAATCCTGATATCGCCCCCGAACCAATCCTAGCGGACGCAGATTCACAGGACGCACAACAAGTCGACGAAACCCCTCACACACCGACAGGAGCGTACGACACGGCGACCAACAGGAAGCACAAAAAACCCCGGCCCAAGAAGAACATGAAGTTAGTCTTCATGTTATCTTTGGGATGTTGCAGGCACAACAACTGGCTATCGCATAGCTGCAAAGCCATCGGAGAACCCCCAGCACAGCGGCACCGGAGACGGCTCCCCCGAGTAGGTTTCGTGGCTTCCGCGCTTGGCCTGGCTGCTTTAGGCTTATTCTCTGAGTCGTGCTCCGACTCGACCTTTCTTGCTCTTTGAATTCTTGGTGCCTGTGCGGGCAGGTAGTAGTTGCTTTCATTTTTTGCCTTTGAGCATTTTTCCGTTTCAGCTGTTTTGGGTCCAGTCCCCGAGTCGTATTGTGACTCGAGCTGCAATTGATCTTTGAGCTTTTTCCTGGCCACATGGGCGGATGATGATGGCTTGAAGTGACCTCACAGAAGCGTGGCCTGAAAATTTAATCGGCTAATGATGGTATCATCCGAGCCATGCCTTCAGGCATATTGCAGTTTAACTATTTAGTGGCCCAGTCTCCGAGTCGCGTTGCGATTCGAGCTGTAATCGACCTTTGAGTTTCCCTGATTCTCTGGCTGGCGATAGTGGATTTTATGCCGCGTCTTAGGCATATTGCAATTTTCGGGTCCAGTCTCCGAGTCGTGTTGCGATTCGAGCTGTAATCGACCCTTACATTTTATTGAGTTTCTGGCGATGGTGACAATGGCACTTATGCCATCTGGTCGTAGAGACCTTTTAGTATGTGGCCTGAAGGCTTGCATAGTTAACTATTTTGGATCCGGTCTCCGAATCGGGTTACGATTCGAGCTCATTTCAATCCTCAAGTTGTCAAGATTTTTTACCTGGCGACAAAGGCTCTTACGCTGTTTTTGCCCGTGGGCTTGCTTAGCTGGCGACAATGGCTTACGCTATTTTTGCCCGTGGGCTTTTTTGTAGGCTTTGTTTCCGCTCGTTAAGGTCTTTTCATAGTATTTTTGCCTGACCCGTCATTGGTTCCAGAGGAACCTTGATTTCAAGTCGTAGTCGGCGATATTTTGAGCACCTCGTAAGGTTCATAGCTCGTTAGTCGAGTAGATCGACGCTCTTGCGGGATTTTTGCCTGTTGAGGGAAGCCTGTTTTAACCGAATTTTTTCCGAAGTATATTCGGAGTAGTGGCCTGCGATTTTTTAGGGACAGTCGGGCGTCCCCTAGCTGCGTTATTTTGGTTGTATCAGCCGTTTTGGCCGTAGTCGTATGCGTTTGGCCTTAGCCATTTTTGATCCCTAGTGATAGTTTAGGCGTCTACATCGAGGGTATGCCCTTTAGGGATTCTTACAAATGCGATGTATAGCCTAAATATCGGGATTTTCATGCCTGTTGAGGTCTTACAGTTTGTCATGCCTGTTGAGGTCTTACAATTTGCCATGCCTATTGAGGTCTTACAGCCTGTAGAATAGATCTGGTTATGCCGAGTCTGCCCGCTAGGGTCTTACAGTTTCGGATTTTCCAGGGTATGGCGATTAACAGCAGCCTCCGAGTCATCGAGTTTGTTTAAGCATGTACTATCCAGGGGCTTGGTGAACCCGGCATTCCGACCCTGGGGTTATGCAAGTTGTTTGAACAGCTTATACTAAGTCTCCGAGTATATCGGGTCTGTTTAAGGCTGAATACCGCTTCTTGTGAACTTGGAGTTGTATTGCGAGGGCTTTGTGAGCCCGGAGTTCTGACCCTGGGGTCGTGTGGGCACTGAGCTGTTTAAGCCTCCGAGTATCTCGGGACGTGTTTGGCGGAGAAGTCCTTTGTCGAGAGTATACTGTGACTTTCCTTTTTGGAGGATGAGATGCTGGAAGATATTCTCCGATTCATTGGTGTAATACGCGTGTTATTGCACTGAGTCGACCTATTTTTGGTCGAATGTAATTGCTTTGGTGATTTGCCTTACTCCGAGAATGCCTTTCTCTTTTTTCACGGGAGAAAATGGGTATTTTTTGATTGCCCGATATGATAGTACATACTTCCGCTTCGGCGGGATTTGACTACATCGACTATTTAGCCCTATACGTCGTTTCCCCGTAGGGAATTTCGCCTGGCGTTTCTCCGCCTCCTTCGCATTGGGTGGCTTCCAGGGGAAATACCCCTTGTCGCTTGAGAGTTGGCCGTAAGGGTAGCCTCGAGCAATTCTGTGGAGTCTCCCCTTTAAGCAGCTTCGCAGCCGTCGCCTTATTAAAAACCTTTACTGGTAAAAACCCTTCTTTTTTGGGATAAAAACTCGGTCGAAGGAAAAGAGTGCAACGGGCGGGCCTCTGGGGATCTCGAGGTCTCCTGATAGTATTAGAGTCCTGGTATCTCCGGTTGAGTGCCTGCATGAGGGTTAATTCTTAATCCGAAAGGAAACAAAAAGAATGGATGTACCTTGAAACGAGATAGGCTGGTGGTGCCTTGGAGTCGGCTTAATATG